TAAGTTATTGTTCGCCAATAACGAGATCTAGACGTCTGCGAAGTAAAAAAAAGGTAAATTTGACCCAACGTGGCATCAAATGTAACAATTCTGTGCCATTTTAGTGGGACTTATACTTTTACTCAAAGATCGTAAATTGACAACTGTAAGTACTGTACGCAACTACAAACGTCAGGTTTCGCCAGAATGTAATGAACTGTGTTCGACGTTTGATGTTATCAACTCACATAAATGGTTTCGACTATATTTTATGCTTTGCTGAACATAGCCGGCATAAACTGCATAATACACAGAGAATCAAGGTGAATGCCAGCTTGTCAATTAAAATTTCATAAGCGAACATAAGTTTTTCAAAACTTTTCAAAAATTACCACGTAAAATGCGTAACAAGAGGATCAGGGAATTCAGAGGTGAAACTAATGAAGAACCACCAACCAAGATTCCAAGTGGTCGCAGTGGGTACCAAAAATCTCCAGGGAAAAAGGACAGAAAGACTACTCACATGTACAAGTTTATATGATTATGATTCGCAACGTGCGAATTTGATTACATTTGACCTTAAAAATGTTTTATATTTTTAAGGTCAAAAGGGTTAAAGAAGATGCCTTTTGTTATATTTTTATAGTATCTTTAAAATACAAACAATACATTTTTAAGTTAATATTTTTTGTTATTTTGTTATACGAATGCACAAAACAATATTGTCTCTTTCATAAAACCCAGGGTTGTATTAAGGTTTTAAGTTATTTTCCAAAATAAGCTCTTTTCTAAACCCAACGTGGATGTTAGTGTTACAGTTTTCCACCAGGATGGCGCCGGGTTAACTACCCATTTACGAGTATTACTAATAGTCATATTACACGAACACTACTGACTATGAAATAGCTATAATGTAGTTTCTATGTTGCCTAGTAAAATGTATCGCATAACTACACACAAATATTTAACCAGGTGAACATGGATTAGACAATTTCCATAGAAAATTTATTTGCTAATTATTTTTTTATTTCTACCCTGATAACATTTAAACCTCTAATGTCTTCTAAAATATTTTTTTTAGGGTTATGCTGTAAAGAGAAATTTTAATCTATATTAAATTCACAACGTATCTAACGTATTTAATTGGATAAGGCGTAATAATGTATTGTTTAAAAATATAAAAAAAACTTCAAAATACACCCAGGAACTAAAAACCAATAAATAATTGGTATTTACATACGATTTCCTACCCAAACATTTAAATCAAATTTATATTAAAATTCCAGTACAAACTAAACACTCGCTTATCTATAAACAGTGATCTTAATTACTATACCTACGTTAAACTAATACCCAATTCCAAATTATAATTACCTATATACACAATTGCGAAGTGACAATTCTTGTCTAAACCCGTTATCTATTAATTTAAATAAAATATTATATGTGTTTCTTGAAGACGGTTTTTTTTATTTTAAAATAAATTATTTTTTGTTTTTTAATGTAAACAATTTTTATATTTTCGTTTATCAACAGCCCTTAACAGTCCACTGCCTGACATAGGCCTCTTCTTACAATGGAGGTTTTGGCCTATTACACCACGCTGGCAGGACGGGTTTGTTTCAAGTTTTCCTTCTTTTTGCAGTGCTGTTGTTTTGCACAGTTTGCTCTCTTAGTCGGCTCTTACGACACCCACGTGATGAATAGGGGTGGTGACACTTTGTATTCTTAATCCGTCATCACACGGTATTTTCGTTGACTTTTAGACCGCTTCACCGATTTCAATGATTTATATGGGACCACCTGGGAAGTATACCCATTAAAAAAAAAAACTAAATCCGTTCAGGCGTCTTCGAGTAATCGGTGAACATACATAAATGTGGGTTATCCTTAGGAGATAAACATATACCATAATGGACTTTTTTGTAGATCTCTTTAAGATATACAATTCCGTACTGCATTATTTTGGTCTATCTCGTAAGGGTTAGCCTGTGTTTGCAATGTTTTTACGACAAATCTTTGAAATTCTCGGATTTTCTATACTGTAATATGCGTGTATTATACATATAAACATTTCTCTGGAAGTTTTGAAGTGACAGGTACTTACCACAACAGCATTTCATTTTTATGTTGAAAGAAACGGATAAAAGTAAGCATTTGTCCTTGACTTAAAAAGAACCGAAGTTTGGCAAATCATAGCAGATTCAAAGTTTAACGATTCAAATGTTAGTTGTGAAGACACAGACACACTCACTTTCTGATTTATATTATCACAAAATTTGCTACTTTCTCCGTCCTTAAGTTCGAGTATATTTCATAAAGTGAACTTCTTGACACTTCTTAGAAGAGTTATGTCTTTTTTGTTTTCAGCTTGTGTTAGACTTGTATCGTATCAACAATAATTACTAGTTACTTAATCTTTTTAGCTGTTGGCACAAACATCTTACACTAAACACTAACGTTTAGTCTTTTAGTAGAATAGTTTGAACATTCATAGAATTAATGTAATTAATGCGTATGTAAGCCATTATCTATGTGATGGTTGTATCGCAATGTGTGTTGTATCGCAAACTATTAGACTACTTTGATATTTAAAATGTGTGAGAAAACACATCTTTTTGAACTTGTATCTGTTTCAGAAGTCATATAATATGTACATAGTACAATGGGCGTAAGGTATTATTTGTGTTAGAATAATGGCTCGCCAAATATGTGTTGATGAGTATTATATGGATTTTAAAATGAAAGGGTGAGGTAATATATTGCGGGGATTTTAAAAATAAATGTTGTATGTTGTTTTTTTAATAATTTGAATAAGTTCTTGCTAATTCCAAATTAGCAAGAACTTATTCAAATTATTAAAAAAACTTATATGGACAGATTTTATTTCAATTTATTGTAAGACTCATGTTGCTTAAATTTATATAAGTTAAAGTCCTAAATTAGTCAGCGTGTAATAGTTCATAAACACGTTTGTTAAGTTTGTATGTTGCTTCGCACTTAATAAGTGTATGATTAACCATATTTTACTAATTTACACCATTTCTATATAACTTGAACCAGTCGTTCATAATTGTTGAAACTTTTGCAACCGGTAAGTGTTCAATCATTTTTTGACTCATCCTAGCAGGTGAATTCCCCTATGATTTTAATTATTTTCAACTCTAGGTACGGATTCATATCATTCAAAATAATAAAAATCAGCGAAGCAACATACAAATAAACCAGTTAGATATAATGACAGTATCACATTCTTTTTCTCATATATCAGCTCTATACTGAATTGTATACTAACAAACGATAGTCAAGGATCAGGTTTTTCAGACAGAAATTTAGTTTAAAATTATATGTATACTTTTAGACTCACTGTCATGTTATTGTGGCAAATTTAAAAATAGGATTTAGGCAAGACAAAGAGTATTTATAAATCTGTATATATACTTAGCAAATGTTAAGTTATGTCAGTATAAAAACAAGCCAATTTAAATAACTCGCCATACGCTTTGTTTTTGTGCGAACAGAAACCGGTATTTAGTTTGAAATACAAAGTTCCTTCCTCAACTTTCCATTGACTTGTAGGTTATTTAGTAATAAAAAGTTCTTAAAATATTTAATTGTACAGTATTCATTATTGAGCATTTCTTTACAAGCTTGAGTTAAGAAAAAACGTCACGTGACTCGCTTAACGCGGAGTTCCCTTCTGTCTGTATTATCCCACGAACCGGCTTATACCGGCGCATACAGGCCGAAACTGACCACAAAAGCCTTGGGCAACAGATATTCGGTCACTTTTAAATGTTCATGTTACACACGATATTAATGCAAATGAGCTTTGGAAACGTTTTTACATAGACCATGCGAGTTTTTTTTATTTACTCATTACGTGTTGTTTGTTTGAAAACTAACTTAATTATTCCTCAAATGACGATGGCTAGGGTGGCACCTTTTAATTCGAAAATCTATATTAAGAACAAAGTTAAATAAATATTTACCATGACCTTTACCTTACCTTGACACATCTCACACACGGCCTTCGGATTCAAAACTAGGCAGAGCCTTTACCATGGTAATCAGACTGCTGATAAACATACTTATATAGTTTTAAAAACATACATATTTAGATAAATTACTCCCAGAAACAGAACAAATGATCGTGCTTATCACACAATGTTTGTCCTGGTTTTGTGGGAATCGAGCCCATGACCTCCGTCTTAGCAGTCAGGTTCACTAACCACTAGACCAACAGGCCCGTCAATTTATATAATATATAATATGAATAATGAATTGATCAACTAACCACGACTCACATTATTATTGGTTAGTAGACTTAAGAACTATTGTTTAAAGGTTAAGGGTTAAGGGATATGACTTTTTACAATAATAGATTTACACGATACAGATTACAAATTGCTTTATTCGATTTATGAATTTGAAAAATGTGACATATATACTGTTTCACTTATCTGTAAATACCCGTGGTTAAGAAGAAGCACTTGAGAAATATCATATAATCACCGTTGCGTTATTGTTGTGATTATTTCACTTCAAATTCACTTGAATAAGGAGTGTTTCTGTCTGCAGCTACAGAAACACTGTCTTGTTATATATTTTAACACAAGTTTATACCTATAAATCAATGAATTGAAATTTACCATGAAAACTTAACTCTACTTCTACGTCTGTAAGCTTACACTACAGTGAGTCAGTAACGAAAGCGGGTTTTTCTAGATATCAATAAAATCCACAAGCTATGCAATTGAAACTTTATATGTTTAATAAGTCCATTATTGACATCATATCCCATCCATCATATTTTTCTTTATCTGGTATAATCCAAACCTAAGTTAAAAACACCACACCACATCCACAGCAAAGTATAAATAATGCCTTTTGTTTCAGATATTCCGTGACAAAAATTATGTGGTTGAAGATAGTAACGAAGAACCTTTTCCATACTGTAAAACTGCGCGAAGAAGAGTCCTACATAGGTGCTTTCCGATAGTCCACCGACGGAATTAAAAATGGCTGAAAATAGGTAGGAAAGTAGTTGACCGTAAAAAATTGAACTCCAATGGCAATATGGCTAGAAAATCCAGAAAGACAAACCTTTAAAATACCTAAGAAGTTGAATCTCCAAAACCTGTTGGGGTTATAAAGAAAGGAATTATAAACCTGATTTACTTTTCGCAATCTAGTGATAATAGTTAGTTAGTAGTTAGTTAGATAGTATCATATCAAATCTTCCCTAAAGCCTTATGTTATTGTTGTTAGGTTCACAATTTCATCAGCTGACTTTGAGTCGAAGAAAAATGGCATTCATATGGGTGCCAGTATTATCTCGCGTCCTTTGCGGTCGTCAGCTGAAACCGCTGAAAGAGGGGGAGGTGGGACCACAACCAATGCTCAGTCGGACACATGGTTGCATGATGCCGGTTGGAGAAGAAAACGATCGCTCGCCCAGCTGACGAGGGAAGCCCTACCCAGATTGGAAAATTACAGAAACTCTAAAAGAGCGTTAAAAAGGCCAAGTCTTGGAGAGCTGCACGGAGATCACTTAATAACAGAAGAGGTACGTGCTGTACTCTAACACTGAAATTATTGTATCGTAAATGTTTGGCTTTACTTCTATTTAAAAAAAAAACTACATCTTTAATAGTACGAGTAGTTATTACTCTTAACCGCAGTGATATCAATGTCTCCGTGAAATGCAGAAATATATGCTTATACTTACAAATATTTTGGCTTAATTGTTTTTAAAGATGTTTAGCCTTATTTCGAATAGTCAAAATATTTCTAAAGTTTTAAAATGGATGTGTGTAAAAGATCCTAATGCTATTTATGTGCTAAATAAATTTGTTACTTATACATAGGTAGATATACTACCGACTCGATGTATTGAAGATGCTTTATAACTTGGTAATTTTATTTGAACTACAAGTATATTTGAGTTTTCTACTTACAAATGATCGTATGATTTATTTAATTATAATTGAACTGTGTTAAAAATTGAAATCAGTTATCATGCGCTTAAAGCCGCAGGCTGTCTGATTTAAATATTTTAGTACTAATTAAGTTCCTAAAATATATTAACACATTACAGTATTAGACAGAACTGTACGTACAGGCACATTTATGATTACGTAATATCGTCATCCTAATGTGATCACCCTCATCATTATTGATTTCCCGTAATCAAAGTGTCGTTACTGAAACTCATAATGGTCACGGTAACCATGAGTCATTTTGATGTAATTATACAGTTTAGGACGTCAGACGTTATTTAGAAATCAAATACTTACCTCATTAGTAGAAATTATGCCAAAACAACACATAGTATGATGTCATTATAAAAGAATAAATCCGTTTATTTAACTTATGTGCCACTTGATGTATGAGAAAGAAATATAGTGCATAGTTAAATAGATAGGTAAGTATATTAAACTTGCATGGAAAGCTATATCTCTTTAAGCAACGAACTTCTCGATCTGAGAGCTATCTTTTCGTAGCAAACATACGGTGAACATACAGAACTTATGAGCAACAAAAATTAAAAGCAGGTAAATGAATTCACACTGCAATAGAAGAATGAACAAAATTAGGCATGGTGCCAATTCAGAGAGGTGAAATAACATGGTCCGGGTCCTCCCAGAGTAGGACACCTTAGACCGGCCGTTAGGGTGGTTTTTAGTGGAATCACATCATACTTCTGGCTCCTGAGTCCCCGAGGAGCAGGAGATCCGAAGTGATTTCCACCCCGTCAACAAAAAAAAGGTACCTATTGCCATGGTTGTGCTGTAATGTAATCTTATTACACAAAGTGTTGTCCCATGTGGCGATCGATCCCAAAACACTTAGCGCAGTGACTTTTTGCAAGTGAGACATGAGAGAGCCTGAGATTTGATTACCATAATCATACACCACTACGTTAGTAATGACCATTTTAACATTCCATTTTACATTATTGACTTCTAGATGGAGCTTTAATGTTGAAATTTAATACGTATACTAGAAACCAAGCAAATAGGTTTGTACATGTTTGAGTGTAACTGCCTTAAATAAGGACATTTTGAAATCGATTCTATTTTTTGTGTAAATGTAACACGATATCTGTTCACCCAAAAATGGGATGTTAACTACCCGTGTCTTATTTAAGTACACATGCGCATATAAGGTGACTTACTATACATGTCTTTACATGTAAACATGGGATTATATATGTATATACTCGTAGGTACACATCTTCAAGATCATCTATTTTATCGTAATTAGTTGCGCATACAATAGCTGCTTGCTGTTGTACCTACTAAGGTACATAAAATATTTATCTCTAGTTTATTACATGCATGTAACTAAACTATAAAATTACTAGAGATCCACAAGCAAGCTTGTAGTAAGTATTATGTACATCAGTTATTGTTGCACCCAATTTACATATGGGCAACTCAACTTTTGTATAATGTCTTCCCATCTTGTGGGGATTAATATCTATTATTTTGGTTAAAAATTAGTCTGTTAGTTTAATTACAAAATAACAAAACTCGAAAAGTAATAAATAAAAATGAAGAAAAACGATTTCAGCACAGGAAATTCCTGTTGAGTTTGTTGATTACTTATGCGAATAAACCTCTCATGTTGTGGCCGTGGAAGCATTTTAGGCGATGACATCTGTGATTAGATGGGAGTATGATAAATTGCCATATTTCAGGAAAAAGTGTTGATTTAAATCAAGGTCGATTCATCCCCTCGTAAATTGGATTAAGATTATATTTTTAATATACAGCAACAAATATCACATCTCGAATTTGTGAGACACAACATTAAATATTGCATGCTGAAATAATATGTCCTTAAATAGCAAATAGGCAACAAAAAGCATATGCAGTATATTTACATGATGAATCAACAAAGTACATCAATTGAATACAGCTGACTTCCATCACTGTCTCACGTCATTCACCGGGGTACTGTCATGATAATTACAAGCATTACATTAACAATACAAGATTATTAACTTATGTCCGAATACTGAAAACATTAGACGTATATTTTCTTCTTTTGTTTACTGTAGTTTACTTTCGTTTTTAATGTAAAAAAATAGAGTCACTGAGTGCATACAAATATAATGTAAAACTATCGCTTTTTGCTGGATTCTCTTGGATCCTAGTTAGCAGAGTCTGAAGTCCCAGGTTTAATCCAGACAGAGGTGTTGAGCATGATCATACTCAATGTCTTCTGGGTGTAATTTATCTCTAATATTTATGTAACTATACATATAGTAATATTTATGTTTGTTTATCAGTATTCTAGTTACCTTTGTACAAACTTGGCCTAGTTTAAAATCTGTTTCTGCCAACTGACGTCTCTGTCAACGGCAACCGCTTATAAATCTTTGGATAAACTACCTTGTTCACATCTTTGTTTTCAATATTTTACTTTGATTGTTCAGGATGAGAAAGAACAGCACGCGTCAAGAGATACAAAGTCACCTACTCCAGCTCATGGCATCAAATTAGGTTGGATTCAGGTAATAACTTTTAACTGTAAGGTCTGTTTGAGTTGTTGGTTAATTGAGTTAGTAATAAGAGAGAAACTGCTCCTTCACTGTTTTTTTGTTAAATATAATGGAAAAAGCTTAATCACAATTTTTAGGTATCGGGTCGATGTATAATGCATTGATGACTGTTGGCAATGATGTAAGATTTTTATATAAAATAAAAAGTAATTATCATGAGCAATTTCTTTTGTTATGAAGTTTCTATAAAAATAAATTGCTACAGTTCTAACTATGAGAAAGAAAAGAATATAGTGAACTGTACATACCAAAATTAAGTGTCCACTCCTTCTGAGTATCTAATACTTGTATTGTTTCCCAAAATCAATATAAACGCAAATAAGCCCTGGGCTAAGTAACTGAAATAATACTTCAAAAGTATGAGGTGAGGCGAATATGGAAGCTACTTTCATTAATTAATTTTTTTAATTGCTTTGGTATGAATTTCTGCATCGTTTCACTCTGTTATTGAATTTAAATAGCAATGTGACCTAATTAGAGACACGTGCCATTATTAATTTCCTATCTAAAGGCGCCATAATTGAGTAAACAGCGGATGCATGAGGCAAAGTCGAGTAAACATTCTGACTGTGCCTGTGAAAGCTTGAAAGATGATACTAAATATTCACTAGTCAAGGTGTATTGTAACAAATTATAACAAAGTGAAGGTGTATTAGTACGAATTAATCAAAATGACTGTACGAGAATGCCCACCTAAAATGATAACAACAGTAGTAAACTTAACCAAGAAAGTTTCGAACACTAAAAGCTTTTTTTAATTGAAAGAGGAATGAAAGGAGACCTCTTAATTTATCTTGTTTAAAGTACAGAGCAGAAAGGTTGAAGGAACACTGAAGCAAACTCCGTACGACTTTTGTTTCGCCAAAACTTGTCGAGAAATTTATCACTTCCTCGTTGGGTCAAATTTTGCATCTTACAAATTATTTGTAATAGGCTATTAGGCACTAAGATTATTTAAAAATGTCTAGTAACAATAATTTTGAACAGCAGATACACCTATTCTGTCGTATTGTTATTCAGCGTAATGTTCATTACGTTCGTTTTAAAATTTTAAACTTTCAGGGTGTACTGATACCATGTCTATTAAACATTTGGGGGGTAATGCTCTTCTTGCGGCTATCGTGGGTGGTGTCTCAAGCTGGAGTTGGCATGTCACTCATCATCATTTTGATATCGGCCCTAGTATGCGTCGTCACCACGCTGTCGATGAGCGCTATATGTACAAATGGAGAAGTGAAAGGAGGTAAGTAATTTATTAAAATAATATACATATATTAATGAGTAGTGATCTTAGTTAGTAGCAAATAGGTCAGGTTCTTTAAAAAAAAAATAGAATCTAAAAATATTAGAATCCAATGTAATGAAAGGTTAACGTTGTTGGATTTTGATGTCCTAATAATAGCAGTTCCCGGATCCCTCCTATTACAGGCGCAGAGTGGTACACCGTGTGGTTTTCACACGTTAAATAAATGGTGGATTTTAATGACTCAGAAATAAATTTAAACAGATAAGGATCTACCTTGCACTAACAACGAAAGAAGAATTGTTATCATTAACATAATATGTGTCTTAACTAAATGTTAGCATATCAACATGTCAAGGAAAGTCTTTCCGCGGCACTTTTTTTTAGTTGTAAAGATTTTCATTTTTTTTTGCTTTTTAATACGAAGAATGATGACTACGTCAACCATTTACTAATTCAGAAATTAATTTAAAATATGTAACACTAACTTTTACGTCTAGAACAAAAAGGCTTGAATCAAGAAAAAAAGAAATTAACACATAAAGACTGAACCTAAATTTTATATAAATAAATCTAAATCCTAATTTCCAAATTATCATCAGGTCAAGTTTTGAAGATGGAATTGTAGCGATATCGATTGTACTCTTCATATATTATAGACAAGCCTATATCTTTATATATATATATAAATTAGTTTTATTATACAATATTATGATGATGGTCACCTCAATAACAAGTATTTCACGAGTTGCGATTCGATTAGTTAAAGGGCCCTAAAAAGTCCAAAAACAGTATTTCTACAAAACTTCGATATTACATCTCTTGGGTTGTGGAGGTGTGATTGCAGCCGCTCCGCGTAAAAATCGAAGTTCAGCCGTAGTTAGGTAGTCGTAGTAGACTTAAGGCCGACCCCAACCTAGTTAGGGAAAAAGGTTAAGAGGAAGGAATCAGGCGCATTCAATTATTTACCAAGTTCTGTTTTTTAGGCTACGCTTGTTTTTTACTTTACTTTAATCAAAATAACGTTTCAACGTTGCAATTACTTTTAATAGTGGAATATTACGTAGATATCTACATCTGCAATTTACAAAATTAGTTTATAAGTGATCCTTATCTGATTTACTTACATGTGGTAACAGGTAGATATTTATAGTTGGGCAAGGTAATTAAAATGACTAGAATTTTATTATTATGGTTTTTAATTGTCATATTGTGTCCCATCATCTTATAGCACAATAGTGGGCAAAAGTCGTATTTAACACTCTTATTTTGTCAATTAAAATTTGGTCCCATTTTCATAATAGCTAGCAAGCTTTTAGTAGTTGTTCCTGCTGGATTGACTGCTAATATAGTTTAGAAATTAAATATAATAATAATTAATTGACTGGCCTGTTATAGTGGTTAGTGACCTTGACTGCTAAGCCGGGTGTCGTGGGTTCGATTCCCACCCAGGACAAATAATTGTGGGATGATCACGATCATTTGTTCTGTGTCTGGGTGTAATTTTTTGTAATATAATTTGTATGTATTTAGAAATATATAAGTATGTTTATCAACAGTCTGGTTATCATAGTACCGGCTCTGCTAATATGGACTAGACGGCCGTGTGTGAGATGTGAGAGGTAATTATTATTATTATATAAGCAAAACAAGGAAAGGGGTCACTTGTTGGGCAGAGATTACGCAGCCCGCGGACACCTACAAATCAAGTCATGTGTCACGAGTTCAGGGGCCAGCAATACACTTCGTATAGTCAGCCACTGAAGTTGAAGTATGAAGGTCATAGTTTATACAATTACTTGAAATATTTAGAAAGCTTAGTGCTTAACATCGACTTCTTTACTTACGTTTATACTAATCTCATATCCCAAATAATAATAACTTAATAAGATGTGTGAAGTTATTATTATTATTAATATCAAAGTGCGGGTTTTCCCCTCCATCAGCTATAGTGACCTGCCGCGAGGAGGCGACGTGCGCGTGTGCCGTCGTCTAAATAGAGAATTTACCTGAAGTTGGTGCCCGCGCTTTGCGAGTAGGCGCCCGGAGGGGTCCGGATGTCTTAACAATAGCAGTTCCCGGATGCCTCCTATTACAGGCACAGAGTGGCACACCGTATGGTTTTAGTCGGTCCAATTCCAAAACACCCTCCACCGTAAACCCCGGTGGGGTGACGGCCCAAGGGAGTTTGCACACGTTAATAAAAAAAAGGAAGTAAAACACACATAACAAAAGACATACCTATCTTTTATACGAATAACAGAATAAATTTACCTTTTTTTTTTTTTTTTTTTTTCCGTGCGGAAATCCCCTCGGATACCACCTGTCGGTGGCATGTCGGACTCGAACCGACTAAAACCGCACGCCGTCTCGGGTACTAATAGCCGGGGAACCAGGTATACTCTAGAAAGCTAGAAAGGAAGTCCCTGGTGCCCCGACATACCTCGGGTCATCTACAGACGAGTAGACGACCCCCCCCCCGTGTGGGAACCCCATGTTCCCTGTGCTCCCTGGAAGCGAGCGCGCTTCCAGGGACAGATGGCCTCACCTGTCACCCCCAGGCCTGCGCTTATGGAGGACGGAGGTCGTTCTGCGACCTCCGGCGCCTGAGTCACCTGCGGTACCTGGCCCATGCCCGGGCCTGGCGGGCCGGGAGAGTCCTAAACCTCTCCCGGTCCCGCTCCGCCGTCTCCTTCGCGAGCATAACTTGCTCGCAGAAGGAGACGGCAGAGTTCCACGCACTCTCGCTCCGTACGATAGCCGCAATCAGCCTATCGAGCGAGAGAACTCCCACTCCGATGGCCGCCACGAGGTCTCGCCTCTGCTCAACCCACGCCGGGCACTCTGCCAGCGTGTGGAGAGCCGTGTCCACGGTCTGGCCATCGCAGTGGTGGCACTCAGGCGTTGGCTCCTTGCGGATCAGACAGGTGATCCCCGAAACATCCTTTCCCAGTGATCACCTGCGTCAGTCGGTATGAGAGGGTCCCGTGACGCCTCTCGAGCCAATCCTCCATAACGAGAATAAATATACCTAAACACAATTCATGAAAAAGAAAAATCGGTTTACGGATGCGAGTATAACCGCGCCACGATAAAGCTATTATTTTGGACTTCATAAGACTATACAACAGTAGATCTATTTCTCTCATTGATTATCCTCGAAAGGTCTGGGCCACCGTCATTTGTGGTATCCTAATCATCTTGGGACTATCTTCAGTTTCTATTCTGTACTTTGCTAATCAAAACGACGGCAGAATCAAAGTGGCTAAAAAACGTAGGTAGATGGCGTTGTGAAAATATTATTATTTAAATTCTTTACTTGTTTTTACTTTAAGTAAGTTTATCGCAGGTCCCTTTTCCATTAGTACCGTTTAGTTTTTCACCTTCTCCTTCTCAATTATACATATGATCAAAATAATATATGTTGTACACGTAGGAGCTTTTATTACAAAACAAAAAAGTGCTTTACCGTGACGTAAAAGTCGCTTTGCATATTTTCGCAACGTCTGTTATAACGGTATATCATGTCACTACATAATTGTTAAACAAGTCGATGTAAATAAATTAAGGTTGGTTTTGCAAAGATATCTAGTCTTTATTATTACATTGTCATACTTATTATTCAACTATTATTGAACCGTTAGGTTCAACCACTGGAAGTGCAGTAATATTAAAATAATTAAAGGAAAAAAAAGGAAAGTATTTTAAATTATGAAATCGTTTTTTTTTTGGTTGTTCAACCAATTGTATGACCAGTGCTAACAGATATTGCAACATGTTTGAAGTTTGTCAAGATTGAATAGTTGTCAAGACTAAATGATTAAAATACTATACAAGAGAGGTATAGTATTTTATTTAGGCTTTAAAATGGTTCTATTTTATTTTGTAAAGAGTTGTGCCTGTATATACATGTTAGGTCTCGAACTATATATATATATATATATATATATCTCCAAATGCTGCCGTCAGGCTCACTTCCTCCTTCTTACAGAGTTGTGCCTAATGTATAAACTTTATGTTTTTGAGGAACTATGAATCATTGAGAGATGTGATATAAATACCTATGTAATAAAATCTTAAAAATAATGATTCAATACTCAATACTTTATTCCTTCCATAATGTATATACATGGGTGACAACAATTCAAACGGCAACAATTATGGACCCTGTCGGGCACAGCACAGTTTGTTTGGGAGAGAGGAAGATAACACAACCATATATACAGTTTTCAACCTTCCAGTAGACCTTTCCACTCTTCTTATAATGTAGTAGTGTAGTGATCAGTCAGATATTAATCGATCCATTGCTATTGCAGGTGGCATCTATTATATTATATCAAGGTCTTTGGGTCCTGAATTTGGAGCATCAGTTGGAATAATTTTTGCATTCGCGAACGCAGTGGCCGCTAGTATGAACACCATAGGCTTTTGCGACTCCATGAACGATTTACTGAAGTCCCACGAGTTGAAGATCATTGACAACGGGGTGAATGACGTCAGAATCATTGGAGCTGTGGCGTTGCTGGTTATGTGCATTATTTGCGCTGTTGGCATGGACTGGGAGAGTAAAGCTCAAGTAAGTGATTACTTTACAAATAACTTAAACACATACTGTATTTATACTATACATTAGAAGCTCGTATTGCATCGTCAGACTAATTTGCTGAGAATCAAACATGAAGTAAGTACTTAGATGTACATGTTTTTATCATTTTCACGCGTCCTTTCATTTTGGTTTTATCAAAGCCTTTCTCCTGTTGGTTTTTTTTGTGGTGTAGGGTGCAAACGACCAGACGGGATACCTGATTGCAACTCAAGGGACAAAAGTACCTTGTCACCCTTTAGTTGCCACTCCCAAAAGTTACGGGACTAGGACTCTGGTAACCTTACTCAATCAATGAAAAGCAACAAAAATGAATCCAGGCCGACCTCGTCTACAACTGCAACTCTCAGAATCAATTAATAGCTAACTCAAGTTCAATAAAGATGTCCAAGTATCCTAAATTTTTAAATAACACGATATAAAACTGGCTTTTTAATTGTAACATTTTACATCTCTAACCTTGACAAGCTATTTCTGCATCACAACATGATTTTATCAAAACATGAATGTTAAATCATTCACATCTTTAGTGAATGATTTATATATATTATGTTGATAGCTCATGATGTAATTTTTTTTTCAGTAACATTGATTTAGCCACTGAGCTGAATCATGCATAGCTTGTGATATTGCTATGTTTTTGCCCTGATCATCGAATTACTTAGACATATAACTATAAGTTCGAAGTAGAGTATCGAAAATTTTGTGTAAAGGGCATGTGTATTGCATGTAAAAATGATTTTGGAAAATATGCCGCCTAAACTGTAGATTTGGAATATATTTAAATGGTAGTAACACAAATCGGTATTATGTTTAGCTTCTAAGTTTTAATATCCAATAGCGACAGACTGTTAGTGTTTAATATATGTTTATGTTTGTATTTAATATTAAAAAAAGAAGAGAAAGCGGCTATCTTTTAAAATAGAAATATGGAAATTAAAATTATATCCATGGTTTTGTTCACACTTGAAGCTTTTATGATTTATTTTACGTCACTTAGAGTTATTTTGTTTATTATTTTTAAACTTTTAAACTCATCGCTAAAAGTGATTTTTTAGGATTGGAACCAGGATACATTCTTTTATCTAAAATAAAATAAATTTATATGTTAGTGAACAAATCAGCTAACAAACCCTTAAATTAATGTCAAATTATGTTTTTAGAATGCTTCAGAATGAAATTACAGATAACAAAATATTTTTATCAGGCATTGATCTTACCTTATATTTATGATTTTCTTTTTCATTCCATCAATCATCAAACGGATGAACATCGGTGTTCATATTAACCCCAACGAGTCGTGGCAAATACCGGGCAGTATTTACGCAAACTATACCAATCGAAAAAAGTCAGGTCGGAAAAATGAATGAAATATGGCAGCTGCGGGTATTATAGTAGTAATAGTAAGCAAACAACAATATACAATTCTAAACGTCGTTCAGTTGGTTCAAGACAAATATTTGTACAGGTTTATGAAGAGTTCAAGAAAAATAGCAAGGAATTGCGGTCAACTAGGCTACTCAACCGTCCAAATCAATTAATCAGACTATCGCAGTTCACCATTTTATTGTATAACACTCGGATTTCCGTATTCGGATCTAAACATTCCCAGAATCATCCGAATGAACTAATTAATTAATAATAAAACCTTCATCTGATTCAACCTTCTCGACATCCGTAAGCTTGAAACCTATGTGAAACTCTTAATTGTGACTACGAGTATAAGGAACATGAAATTGTAAATATCTACTGTTAGAACATTTTGCAGTTCAGTTTTCCTATTTTTATTCCTATTGTTACGATAAGTAGAAAAAACTACGTAACGACTCTTGTAGTACATGACCTTAAAACTTTATTCTTATATTAACAGTACGACGAGCAAAATATTTCATTAAGACAGTACCTACCTAAATGGTGGCCATAGAACAATAGACAACGCACAAACTGAATTATTTTCCTTTCAATACCAAGACTTTAATAAATGTCAGTACATAAGTTTAATTATCGCATTATCGACTTTAAATACGGAGAAACATCACTAATTGCCCTTTTGTTTTGCTTGTGTGCTCCTTATCAACATAAAGGTGTTTACACTACTGTATTACACGTGCCCTTATTGTTTAAGAGAGAATATTTTCTTCGTTTCATAAATTATTCAAATGGTCTCAGACATTTTGATATGAATGTTTACATTCAAGCAGTTAAAATGTTGTACTATTAACAAACTTATTTAAATAAATGGATCAATTAGGTTTAACATTTTTTTTAATTTTTTAAGCGGAACACTTAAATTCCCTTTACACAATTAGCTGAGATGTTTGTGTTCCACTGAAAATTGATTATTAAATGTAGAATGTGTCTAAGTACATGTTTTCTAGTAAAGTCAACGACTTACTTATAGCATTTTTTCATTGATATGGCAACGTTAATAGAGAATGTTTAAGACTGAAATGTCGTATACTATTGAAGGCCCATGATTTGGCTATTGACAGAACCCTCTTACGACTTCTACCTAATAGGCAAGAGTGCGGTGGTAATGTCTTTGTTAAGTAAGTTTACAATACTAATCCATTGTCTCTGTTAATGAGCTACGTTATTTCTGTCATTTGTATTTTGTCACGATACGTTACAATTTTTGCATCATATTTATAGACATCATAGTAAACATTAGTAATATGGCAGTTATGCGATGCTATATATAGATAACATTTAATGGTATTAGTTTTCATTGTAAAAGCTTCAACAGTAATAGCAGTCACCGTAAATTATAGTTCAAGTTAGTTAATTACATCCTGCGGGGCGTGAGTTTGCTTATTGTTGGAATGCTGGTTATTTTTACAATTGCCTCTGCTTTTATTATGATTTTTTTTTTAGTTTACATATACATATATATACAGTGTTAAAGGGACGTCGTAACGAATACTGAAATTGTGTATTCAGACCACGATTATGAGTCGAAAATCATTGGAATTTTCTGCCGCAAATTAAACGCTTAAATTTAAAAAAATAGTTAAATATGTGCAAACAAAACTTTCTTAAACATCTTTTACTTACATAGTAATGATGTAGTAAATATATTTAATATATAGATTTTAGTTCAAATTGAATGCCATCGCGAATTACCTGCTATTATTACTTTTGTGGCCCAAATGCAAGAGACGACTTGGTGTTAGTCTAGGGACAATATACAGGGTTACTGCTGTACAACGCATTCCAACAGCACTGCAAAGAGAAGGAAAACTTGAAGCAAACCCTATACCCACCCGTCTGGCTACCGTGGTATACATAGTTGGCCAAAACTTCCTTTTTTTATAGAATAGGGCGCAAACGAGCAGACGGGTCACCTGATGGAAAGCGACTACCGCCGCGCATGAACGCTTGCAACTCAGGAGTCACAAGCACGTTGCCAGCCTTTGTGATTCCTATGTCCAGCAGACTATTATACAGCTTAGACTATTTAAAGGCTGATGGTGTAATGTGTATGTGATGAACTTCTGTAGATTGTAATTGAGTTGTATTTATGAATTGTTTTCATTGTGAAATGTTGCATAATATACTAAACAAAAGAAAACCATCTGTTTAAAAACGGTGTGGTAAGTGTTACGACAATTCTGAAAACAGGACGTACTATAATTTGTGACATCAACCCTGTTATGATAGTTTTTTAAACATACATAAATAAAAATTAATAGTAATCTACGCTGTATTCGATCCCCATCTGACCTTGTTACCTTTCTGTTTTTCCTATTCTAAATATATAAATGAAAACTGTACACGGACACATCCATTAGGATAACATAAATATGTTCCACAATAGGCAAACACAAGGTAGCATCATAAATAGCGACAGTATGTATGTAGTTCGAAGCGTGTTTCTTTGACATGTAGGTCAATTTTGACACGTTCGACCTTTTTACAAACAGGTTACTAGCCCTTACTGTAGCTGCTGACCAATGCAACATAATCAATTTTTGTGTTTTTTATACTTTGCGATTATGTATTATTTTTATACAATCATATTCTTAGTGCTAGAAGACAGTAAGTTGCCTATTTCTCAGTGTGATACAGTATTTACTTTGTTGAATGTGCAAAAGTTCTCCGCAGTTAAAAGTTCGATCCTTTGGTTTTTCGGTTCGATCCGTTGGTTGGACGACTTTTTGGTTTGTTGACCATCAACAAACCAAAAAGTCGGACTAAACAGCTGATAATTGCCGTTTTCGTATGCGTCGCCTTGTTCTTGAAAGAATTGCTTATATATTGGCAAAAACAAAAATATCCTGACAAATCTTGAATGGGTTTTTCCACGTTAGGCGTATACCTTAGTAGCTTTCCCATAAGGTGCATGTAGCCCTCATAAACATGAATCAACTCTACAATTCTAGTCCGCAAATCAAACGACGAGGTTGCGTCGTAGATGTGATTCGTGGCGTCGTAGATTATTGATATTGTTTATATTGCTCAAAAACTTCCTTTGAACTGTTCCTGTCCTTTTCACCTTCATTGAACAACAGGCTGTTAGTGTAGAAGTAAATATTTTTATTCATGCATACATAACTTGGCTAGCATTATCTACAAATAAGAATTTTTTAAAGGCACTAATAAAAATACATTACAATTATTTTAATAAAATAAATGTAAAGATATATATTTATATAACATTTCAAGTACTTTTCTCTTTTTCTTTCTGCGTGGTGACGGAATAAGAATACAGAGTGTCACCACCCCTAATCATCCCGTGGGTGTCGCAAAAGGCGACTAAGGGAGCAAACTACGCAGAACAACAGCAATGTAATATGAACAACAAAAATTATGCTAAAGGCACACCTAATAATAAATTTTAGAAAAGCACATCCGAGTGTTCTTAACCTAAATCATGTCTAATCCTTAAGAATCCTTAAAATCTAAATCTTCGCAAAACAGTAAACTTGTAGTTGTAATATTACACATAGTATGAAATACGCAAGTTCATATTA